GAATGCCACGCCATTGAGTCCAAGAGACAGCATTGGAACTGGAAGCAACTCAAGCTATGTAGCTGGTCTTTCAGATCAAGTGTAAGCCCATCAAGGGCAGGTAACCTCTCATCCATCCGATCTAGAAAACTGCCCACAAACAGTGCCTCAGACTGGATTTCAACACACCAAAGAAGCATTTCAGGAAAACGCGTTGCAATCTTTGTACGAGAAATTGTGTGGGCAAAAACAGAACTCCACAGCATCATCTGGTGTCACGGTGCTATAATGCATACACAACGCATATAAAACGCTTTTTCTTTACCAGTGTAGCTGAGTCCTCAGTCTTATCTGAATTGAGCTTCAGTTTCAATGTATGTACTTGATGGTCTGGACTGTGTAATGGTCTAAAATGTGTGTGTGTGTGAGAGAGTGAGTGAGTGAGTGTGTGTGTGTGTGTGTGAGAGAGAGAGAGAGAGAGAGAGAGAGAGAGAGAGAGAGGCTGGTGGTCTGCTATTCCTGTGGCTGATCACAAAGCTGAATTAGTTGCTTGCAAATAAAGTAATATTTTGGTTGATTACAAATAAACTAATTTTATTATTTGAGTTGGGGCTGAAAGCAGCTTATCAGTAAAAATTATGGATGAGAGTCAAATCTTAAAATGCAATGTGATGTTAAACTGTTAATCAAAATTGCCTCCTACCAAAAAATAAAGTATTCAGTATAGGCTGAATTGTTGCATAAATATAGTGAAGATGCCGCATAGTAATACTAGCAGTAGCAGCAACAGCAGCAGCAGTAATGGTACCAACAACTCCCTCTAACAGCTGTGTTCAGAAGTGACTGCTGATCATTGTGTAGGAAAAAAACAGCACTCAGGCGTCAAAGGAAGGAGTCGGTATGCTTGGGGAATCCCAAGGTTTTCAGAAGGCTAAAAATATTTAGAAAAAATAATCACTAAGAGGACCAAAAAGAAAGAAAGAGAGGAAATGAAACAAAATCTGAACAGCCCATGATGTCTGACGATGCTAACTGCCACAGCTGTTTGTCTCTTGTGTAAATGTGGGTAGGGAGTAAAGAAATAATGGAGTATTTTGGAAGAGGATGCAGCTGAATGGCTGGTTAACTGGGACCCAGAACAGAAGCATTTGGTGCTGCAACACTTTGTGTTACATCCTCAGCATCAGTACATTCTGAGTGTTAGAAGCATTTCATGTATATTTCAATATATTATTTTAATTCAAGCTTGAGCAGTGCTATAATAAGTGAATAATTCCTCATGTAAATCCCTAACTGAATAAGGAACTAGTTGTGCAAATAGTTCCTACACATAAAGTTTTATTTACCTGTGAGTGGTTTACCAGAAATATTAAAAACATCCATGAAAAAATCAATTAAAAAGGGAGATCCAGAATGTACGTGCTGCCACACTAAAAGGTTGATATCTTATAACAAGTATTGTGTGGCAACTACAACAGTACCAGTTTCGCAGATCAAAGTTAGGGGGTCAGGTGTTCCCGCAAGAAAAGTAGTCCCATGACACGAAGGGCTTTACATATCAGCAGTAACATATTGAACTTTCTAGCAAAGAGCTCAAAATAGCATGCATCATTCTCCCCTTTCTCCTTCTATCTTCACAACAACCCTGTGAGGTAGGTTAGACTAAGTCAGGAGTCAGCAAACTTTTTCAGCAGGGGGCCGGTCCGCTGTCCCTCAGACCTTGTGGGGGGGCAGACTATATTTTGGAAAACAAGAGAAATGAACGAATTCCTATGCCCCACAAATAACCCAAAGATGCATTTTAAATAAAAGGACACATTCTACTCATGTAAAAACACGCTGATTCCTGGACTGTCCGCGGGCTGCATTTAGAAGGCGATTGGGTCAGATCTGGCCCCCGGACCTTAGTTTGCCTACCCATGGACTAAGAGAAGGTGACGGGCCCCAGGTCACTCAAAAAGCTTAATGGCTGAGCAGGGATTTGGACCTGGGACTCCTACGCCTTAGTCCAACATTCTAACCATTACACCATAGTGCCTCTCCTGTGTCCTTTTCTAACATAAAGGCCCAATACATACATTGAAAGCATGTAGCAGTAAACCCAGTCACATTTGTTTAGGTGAAGTTGTCCTCCATTGGTTAATAACAAGACACTTAGCCAACTGTAATCCATATCTGCACTATATCAAACTGTTTGCATGCATAACCTACCAAAACTAAAACACTCCGCCCCCCATTCTTGTTTCCTAAATCAAAAAGTGAGTTATATTATGATTTCATACCTTTTTACATTGAACGCTGTGTCAACACAAATTACCATGTTTTATTTAGGACTAATTTGAGCATAATTTGGTGTTGAAACATCAGTTTCTTAGTATTTTAAATGCAGGGCATAATCCAGCCATAATGAAACCCATTGAGTACAATGGGTGATTATTAGCAGGTTGCTTAAGCAGATGGATTTAAAAATGCTTTACTTTGGATTGTTGGTGCATAAATGTGTGTGTGTGTGAGAGAGAGAGAGAGAGAGAGAGGGAGAGGGAGAGAGAGAGAGAGAGAGAGAGAGAGAGAGAGAGAGACTTTTGTTCAGCCTTTCGTCCTATTGTCTAAGCTATTACCCATTACAGACCTCGGTAACTAGAGACAGAACATCATACTGACATATAGATCTCCCCTATGCTTGGACTTCTGCCATCTGCAAAGGCAATACTTGATGTGAATTTCCTCTAGCAGCTAGAAGGAAATTGAATTTTTAAAAGTGCATTTGTTCAGAAGCTGGTTCTCCTGTGGAAAAACAAACCCAGACCCAAAACAACTTCTCAAAATAACTTCAAGTCTTATGCCCTAGCAGAAAAATATATATATTATCCTACTATCTTGGCCGGTGTGAGATTTGCAGATGTGCATTACAGTTGTCCTTTCTGCCCTTGCTACATTCAGAACTCGCTAAGATTCTGCAATACCCAGCAACAAATGTAAGGGTCTGTAATGAGCAAGCTCTGCCTTTAAATAAGGGCAGGACTGAAAATGTGGAAAGTTTATTCTGAAAGTTGAAATGCAGGGTTTTGGGGTGGGGGGAGAGAGGAAGAGAGAGGGAGAATGCCACAACCATTTTAAACAGCCATGTGTTAGTATATGAACTGACTTAGCCCAGCTTAAATTGTTTGTTGCATAGTTGCAGCATTCTCAGTCTTGTTGGGTAGTGGAGAGCTTCAGCCTCACATGTCTATCATAGGATTTTTCTTAACAATAATGTGTAGCTGAAAGCATGAATTAAATACCTTGGGTTAAGAACTTAATTTGTTCTGGAGGTCTGTTCTTAACCTGAAACTGTTCTTAATCTGAGGTACCACTTTAGCTAATGGGGCCTCCAGCTGCCACCGCGCAATTTCTGTTCTCATCCTGAAGCAAAGTTCTTAACCCGAGGTACTATTTCCAGGTTAGCGACTCGTGCCCCCCCCCCCACTGGAAAGTAGATCAAAACATTCAACTGAAAGTTGCATGAAGTAGTGAAGAATGACTCAGGTATGTATGTAGGATTTTTAAAATATAAAATAACCCAAACCAGGCATATAAATATCATAGAATCATAGAATCATAGAGTTGGAAGAGACCACAAGGGCCATCGAGTCCAACCCCCTGCCAAGCAGGAAACACCATCAGAGCACTCCTGACATATAGTTGTCAAGCCTCTGCTTAAAGACCTCCAAAGAAGGAGACTCCACCACACTCCTTGGCACCAAATTCCACTGTTGAACAGCTCTTACTGTCAGGAAGTTCTTCCTAATGTTTAGGTGGAATCTTCTTTCTTGTAGTTTGGATCCATTGCTCCGTGTCCGCTTCTCTGGAGCAGCAGAAAACAACCTTTCTCCCTCCTCTATGTGACATCCTTTTATATATTTGAACATGGCTATCATATCACCCCTTAACCTCCTCTTCTCCAGGCTAAACATGCCCAGCTCCCTTAGCCGTTCCTCATAAGGCATCGTTTCCAGGCCTTTGACCATTTTGGTTGCCCTCCTCTGGACACGTTCCAGTTTGTCAGTGTCCTTCTTGAACTGTGGTGCCCAGAACTGGACACAGTACTCCAGATGAGGTCTGACCAGAGCAGAATACAGTGGCACTATTACTTCCCTTGATCTAGATGCTATACTCCTATTGATGCAGCCCAGAATTGCATTGGCTTTTTTAGCTGCCGCGTCACACTGTTGGCTCATGTCAATATAAATTTATGGCATTTATAATTGCTAACATAGAATACAAGGCATTCTTCCACCCCCAAAGGACAACCTCATTTAAAAGTTATAATTTTACATGAACGAAATGACTTATTCATCTCAAATGCATTGCCTGTAAATTATTCATTGGCATAAAGCACAGAATAAAATTATACCAGCCAGTAGAAATCCTTGTCAATGGATCATCCTTGTTTCTGCTTTCACAACAACAGATTTTTCTTTAGTGCCTGCAGATTTTTGTAAATGATGTATCTTTCTGATGAATAATTCGTATAGGCAGCACACCTGAAAATACCCTTATCGTCACTGAAAACCAGACACTGGAAACCCTGATAAACCAGGCTTCTTTCGACTTTTATTTATTGGCCTTATCTCGTGTTTTGCACTTCCACCCTTCCCCAAGTGCTAATTTCCTTTTGAATGGGAAAACACAGACACTGACCAGTAGTCCATCTATAAAATGAGCCCTGCTGAATTGGGCTTAAGGTCCAACCCTCCCAAACTCTTACTGGGAAGAGTTGTCAGTCAGCTGCCTCCGGGAATTCAATAAACAGGGCATGGGTAACAACTTTGCCCTGCTTTTGACCTCACCTGGCAGCTATTAGTTTGCAAGGGCATACTGCCTCAAAGTGTAGTTTCCATCAGTGGTGTAGGGACCCAGAGTTACAGGGTGCATATATGCAAGGACTTGTTACTATAGCAAAGTCTCTGTCTCCAGTGTTCTAGGGCCACCCAGTTAGCACAAAGGGGGCACATTTTAGTCACTGTATGCTCCAAAGCTATGCATAGCTCAATTGGTAGAGCACGAGACTATTAATTTAAGGGTCGTGGGTTTGAGCCCCACATTGAGCAAAAATATTCCTGCCTTACATCGGGTTAGGCTATACGACCCGTATCATCCCTTCCAATTCTGCAATTCTGCGATTCTTTGATTTAGGAGCACTGGAAACCCAAAGTGTTTCAGTTTCAAGAGAATGGTGTGCAAGTTCAAGAGAATGGAGCAACTTACTTCATTTCATTTTGATTTGGTTTGTTATATTCCTGCGCCTCTTTTCATTTATGTGAATCTCAAAGCGGCTTACAAACAATGAATAAAAACGACATAATAGAACATTACAAATACAGCATAAATCGTACAGAATAATTAACAAATCCTCAGTGAAACAATAACAATCTATAAAACACTGTTAACAAGGCAAGGACTAAAAATAAGCTAAAGCAAAAGTCATATCAATTAACAAATCAATGCAGCATTTATAATCTATAAAACAATATAAACCACATTAGCAAATAGCAGCCAAAAATAAACTGTTAAGTTCATGCACGCACTTTCCACACCCCAACGGCTCATAATATTTTATTCTGTTCTGCTCATTAAAATACACAAATTCCTGGCACAGCGACTCCCTTCTGAAGGTTTCTTGGGCTGGAGGTGGAACCGCACAGGTGATACCAACCACCCCACGATGGCAAACAGAGTCTGTCTCCCCTCACATTTCTTCCTCTGGAAACAGCTCCCTTAGGCAGGTGGAAAAAGCCATTGCCTGCTGGCCAACACTCAGAAAGAAGCTATGGGAGTACTCCAGATGATTTGCCCATGCAGAGAAAATAGTAGGTCTAAGCCAAAAGGCAACACATGGAGATCTGCATTGATCATTGCAATGCACCCTGAATTATTATTATTTTATCATCATAATATTATTGTACAATCTTAGAAGAGGTGTGGCTGTGACTACAATGAATGGACCCTGAACTTTACCACTGCACTACTGGTTTCCATATAGTCATCAGGTCTAACGTCCATTGATAAACTAATCCTCCATGAATTTGTCTAATTCCTCGTTTAAAGCCATCTATGTTGGTAAAAGGTAAAGGGACCCCTGACCATTAGGTCCAGTCATAACCGACTCTGGGGTTGTGGTGCTCATCTCGCTTTATTGGCCAAGGCAGCTGGCGTACAGCTTCCGGGTCATGTGGCCAGCATGACTAAGCCACTTCTGGCGAACCAGAGCAGCGCACGGAAACACCTTTTACCTTCCCGCTGGAACGGTCCCTATTTATCTACTTGCATTTTGACATGCTTTTGAACTGCTAGGTTGGCAGGAGCAGGGATTGAGCAACGGGAGCTCACCCCGACGCAGGGATTCGAACCGCCAACCTTCTGATCAGCAAGTCCTAGGCTTATTACTATTTCTTGTGTAAAGCTGTGTAAAGTGTAACATGTTCTTGCCTGTTCTGATTCTTTCATTCTTCATCTTCCCTGGATGACCATGGCGGACAGGAACTCTCTAAGGGGCTTACCATCTGCACATCATGTGACAATGAATTTCAATAGTTATTTATGCATTGTGTGGAAAAATATACCGGTATTTTCCTATGGAAGGGTGCTCATTCAATGCCTGTTTCATGGCAGAATTTCCAAACTGTATTAGTGGTTGTGAGTACATAGCTGTGGGTGGCATAAAATATGCATCTTAAAAATATGTGCTGTTGTATATTTTCCCAAAATAACTGGGTGGCAGATAATTATATACCAAGTGGGGACATTATGTAGGAAATTAGATATTGCAAGGCATTGTTTAAGTTATGGAGACAAATGTGAGTTGGCTCTCACAATGATGCAGAATATATTAGACTAGGATTAACCGTTTTCTAATTGGGACAGGTGTTTTGCTTTGAGGAATCTTGTGCTTTCTGAAAAATCTATTGACTATGCTTTACTTGTATATTTGTGTTTTTCGCTTGTCTTTTAATGCTGTGAACTACCCTGAGATCTATGGATGAAGTGTGGTATACAAATTTAATAAACAACAACAGGTTGTTGAAACTATCTCAAAGATTATACCAGTCCAGGATTAGTTTTTTTTATTAAAAAAAGTACAGTACTGTTGTTTTCTTTTTAAATGCAATCTGCTATCTCTTATCCTTTATTTTTTATTTTTTTACCTTTAACCATCTAAGAAACATTTTGAATTCGAATCGAGGAATTGATTAATGAGCTTTACTGGGACAATCTCACCTGCAGATGACTCCTCTACTTTACACTAATCAATCACAGGAGCAGAACTGACTTGAGGTTGCTTCTTCTTCTTTAAGCACTGTAAACCTGAATTTTTCACATGTTCAGATTCAGCACAATAAACTGCAGGTGGTGTTGGTGGTCAAGTGCAGAAAAATAGGCAGAGTGACTCTAGCCTTTATTGCTAAGAAAGAAATCATTAGGGTATGCACCAAACACAAGTTTTTGTTTGGATTCCGATTGCATCAAAAGCACTCCAGAGGGTGCCTAATTTTTTCCCATTAAAAAGTCTGCAACTCCCCCCTCTCCCTATTTTACAGAATTGGGTGACATACTCAGGCATAGTAGCATCCCTTGAGTGGATAAAGTTGCCAAATTAAGAACAAATTAAGAACGGTGGTTTTTGGGCTTCATACCTTTTCTACTATTTATGCTAAAAATAATAAATCTGAAGGTTTAATGTGGTGTGTGCGCATTCTACTAGGTGCCATTGAAATCTATGTTTTCCTCTTTTTTTTTGAGGAAGAAGATGTTTTCACTCCCTGCAGTTTTGTGGGGAAAGATTTCAGTAGCAAAATGTCATGCATTGTAGAGGTAAAGTCCAGTCAAAGGCGACTATGGGGTTGCGGTGCTCATCTCGCTTTCAGGCCGAGGGAGCTGGCGTTTGTCCACAGACAGTTTTCTGGGTCATGTGGCCAGCATGACTAAATCGCTACTGGTGCACTGAGGACCGTGACGAGTGCCAGAGCGCACGGAAATGCCGTTTACCTTCCCCTTGCAGCGGTACCTATTTATCTACTTGCACTGGCGTGTTTTTGAACTGCAAGGTTGGCAGGAGCAGGGACCAAGCAACGGGAGCTCACCGAAGTGTGGGGATTTGAAACACCGACCTTCCGATCAGCAAGCGCAAAAGGCTCAGTGGTTTAGACTACAGCACCACCCGTGCATTGTAGAACTGCTGCTAGGAAAGTAGCCAGTAAATTTTCAGGAGGATAGATGAAGGGTGAAATATACTGGGAGTCGAGAGTGGATTTCATGCTCTTTATTCATCTCATAGTGGTGAGGAGGAATGAATGTTCCCCCAAAATATCTGCTTTATATACATTATTTACACAATGGGCTGCACGTGATTCTCTAATTCCTGGATTCTCCTGTAGGCCAATCAGGTTGTGGATTCATTTCTACCTGGAGCTGGATTGGGTGGCTCCTGCGGACCAATCACACTGCTGCATTGTTCTAGGACCAATCAGACTGCTGCATTCTGAATCCTATTGTTCTAGGACCAATCAGACTGCTGCATTTTGGATCTCGTTCTAGGATCAATCAGAGTGCTGCACTTTGGATCCTATTCAACTCAGTACAATAACAAAGGGGGTTGAAATAAACGGGGAAATGATAAAAGCTTCAGTCTCGAGTTCTGCTCAATTGGCACTCAAAGTCTCAGAAACTAAGTGCAAAGCTGATTTGACAGAAGTGGCTGTGTGGGCATGTGACTGAGCCAGAAGGCTATGAAAGTCCAACATTTTCCAAGCGAGCACCCTACAGAACGAACAGAGAACACAAAACAGACAAGAACAAGGTGATATATTACTTCAGCACCCCTCCCTCAAAGCACTGTGATTGGAGGGCCCTGGTGAAACCGATCCCTCTGACCTGTCAGTCACAAAAGAGGTCTCCCATTCTACTCTACAAACCCTGGCTTCTTTGTGGGCAAATATTTCCAGTTTGGCAGACGTGCTGTCTGCAATGCTTTATTGATATCTAAATTTCCAAAGCACCCCAAAATACTTTGGAGGACCCTGTTTCAATCTGGGGCACTTTAGAGAGATGTTGCCTTAGCTTAAAGATCCCCTGGACCTATCCAAAGCTTCGGTTTCCATTTTGGATTCACCCGGAACAATGGCACACCCCAACTGTGTGCCTTTCCGTCACAGTCCACCTCACCCAGTATTTTCTGCTCCAACACAGTGGCTCCCCAGAATTTCAGTCAGACATTCCCCGCCCCCATCTCCCGCTGCCTAATGCTTTTAACTGGGGATGCCAAAGACTGAAACTAAGGCCTGGTGCCAGAAAAAGCATGTGCTCGACTGCTGAGCTATGGTCCCTCCTTAATGGATATGTACAGCTTGTTTTGAAAGAAAAGTTTATTTCTCCCTGTCTCTTTCTTTGCAAAGCAAAAAAAGTAAGTCTAAATCAATCCTTCTAAATTAAGAAAGAAAGAAGCAGCATATGTGGGGAGGCTGTAAAGAAAAGAAAAGAGCTAAGTAGAAGGAGTGCTGAAAATGGAGAGAAAAGGCAGCATTGTTACTTCTGCAATTAAAAGGCTCAGAGGTTATTGAGCTTTCTTTTTTATCATGGTAATGATTGGCAGAGAAAGGGAAAAGTGGAGTGGGAAAGATTCTATTTTATTTCAGAGTGCTCATCAAAACTGAAGTTTTCATTCCTTGTTCTTGATCAAAGAAAAATGCCAGAGAGTTCACAAAGCTTCAGTCGTGTGAAAAGATGGTCTGGATCAGGGCCACCAACCAGGGCCAGTAGGGGCCCCAGATGTTTACATTTTTTTAAGAAAAGCAAGTCAATCAAACATTTCTAAAGAAAGTTATAAAACAAAATGCAAGGACAATGCCAAGGCTTTGGAACGTGGCAGGCAGCACCACTGTTAAGGATGCTTAATCTCCATTGCTAAGCAATCATAAGAAGAAATGTTGACTATCCCCAGCTGGGACTCAGAGCAGCAGCAAAATAAGAGAAGCTGGAGGGAGGATACTGGAGTATGTTTATTTAAGCATTTTTCTTGTGTCCATATGATTTCATTCACTCCCCAAGTGTGCTG